GGCAGGGCCCAGGTGGCCGCTCTGTGCCGCGTTTGCCCCTCGTTGGCCTCGGGGCCGCTTCCTAGCGTGGCCCTGAAGGGTCTCGGGAGATTGTGTCTCACTGTCTTCTCGCTGCCTTTTACAGAGTTACTTTGGGGGAGGGAAACTCACTTTTGACTGCGGAGCGAAAGCAGTTTTCAAGTCTGGAAGCTTGGTTTTGATTTGTGTCCTTTGGGTTCTTTCCTTGTGCTCCTGCTCTGCCAAAACAGGCCTGCCCAGTAAGCTGGGCGTTGGGAAGCGTTTGGGAGAGGGCTGTGTCAGCTGTTGTCTGCTGATATCTTACTGTATCCAGTGACACCTTGAGCTGTGCGGCTGGCTTAGTGTTTCTGACTGTTTTCTTAAATGCTCGTAAGTGGTGCTGGTCCTATGCTTTTAGTTTTTCATAATTTAATAATTCCTCTTGCAGATAAAAATCTAGAGAATGCTGAAGAAGCAGCAGAACAGTTCAAGTTAATCCAAGCAGCGTATGATGTTCTCAGTGACCCCCAGGAAAGAGCTTGGTAAGTAATACTGATCTTGTAGTGGACTGGTAAAGATAGCCTCATATTCCTAATTCTGTCCTCACCAGGTCTGTTTTGCAGCTCACCTGAGACGTGGTTTGGTAGAGCCTCAGTGCAGGTCTGGCCAGCGTTCCTGATGCTTTGCCCCGAACTTTAAGTAGCTGAGAGCCATGCAGCGTGTGCTGTCTGCCTCAGAAACTCAAAGGAGGAGAGACCTGGAGGGTGTGGGAGACACAGCTACAGACCCCTGCCTTCTTTTGTGATGTTGGGTGGCTGAGTGGCATGACAGTGTTGGCCTTGGGTTGCTCCTTTCACAGTGGGAGGTAGTTTTTGTGCTGGCACAAGTATCCCTCCACTTGTGTGGTATTACTGCAATTCAAGTCCCAGATACTGTTAGGGAGCTGCCCTTAGGGGAAAAAAAGGCAGCGCTGCTGTGTAAAAATACAGGTGTTGAATGTGCTGCTATCTACCGCTGCAGATAAAATTCCTTAATAATATGTATTCTGCCACATGTTTCTGTAACAAATATCCTGTCGTGTTTTTGTAACAATTCTTATTTGAAATGTACATACATGTTTGTTTTTAAGAGATTATGTCACTTTAAATGCTCTGTGCAACTTGTCTTTCAAATATGCTGAAATGATGTACCAGATTATGCAACTGAGAATGCCGATACTAACTTTTTCTTCCTTTGAAGCAAAGTGCTATTTTCCACTTTTTGAATGCTAATTCACATTTTAGATTTTGCACAAGTATTGGATGGTTTGGATAATGTCACACTGGTTTTTGAAACCTTATTGAAACATCTTATTCAATTGTGATCTGTTTAGGTTTTTTTTTTTTTTTTTGGTGCACCTTTTCTTGTTTTAACATCTCTGAAGATGTTGTACTTGGCAGGCAAATTCCATGCACTGGGCTAAGAAATACACGGATGTAATATGGGTACTATTTAGATATCTCTTGTTTTGTATTGGGAATGTTCTGTGTCGCTTACATCTCTCAAACTGATTTTTTTGTAGGTATGATAATCATAGAGAAGCTCTTCTGAAAGGAGGAGTTGATGGTGACTATCAGGATGATAGTTTAGATCTGCTGCGCTATTTCACTGTTAGCTGCTACTCTGGATTCGGAGATGATGAAAAGGTAATGAACATCTTTAATGCATCAGTTTAAATCTTACAAAAATATCAACATTCACTTAATGTTGAAAAGCTATTCATAGAAATGTTTAACAAAATAGTAATGCCTTATAAGACAAAACCTGTGCTGGATATTTAATCAAGTTATAATTTCTGCTTATTGCCTAAAAACTACCTGGCTGTGGTTTCAAACTATACTGTACAATTACAGAGCATGTCTGTATATTTTTATATAGTGAAGAATCCCAATGCTTTTCAGTAATATCTTAAAAAAAAGCTACAATGTCTCAAGCCAAAGAAAAACAACATAATACAAGTGATGGGAGTGGAGGTACACTTGCTGCAAACTAACTTCCTCTTGGATTTTAAGATGCTGGTCTTAAGTTATAAAGCACTGGGCGATCAGAAATAACTGTATGTGATAGTATTCCCATCCCCTTCTGTTATTATAGAGTAACAAGTTAGTAACTATAATTTAGAATAAAAGATAGTAGTAGGATACTTGATAGTGTGCTTTATATTTGGCCTTTCTTCTGAACTTGGTCCCATGCAGCAAGAAATACATTGACATTCTCAGCATGCTGCAAATAAATAAATAAATAAAAACAATTAAAAAAATCTTTTGAATTGAATATAGGTGCTTGATCTGAGACAGAGAGACAATAGATAAAGGAAATAGAAATTAGGGGAATAGGAGAGAATGGGAACTTCGTTAAACAGAAAGTGTTTCATTATCACTTATAAGGCCCGTACCAGGGTTATTGGTTTTAGAGTTGCTGCAACAAATCATAGTGTTTGTCTAAAATCTACTTCAGTACCTGAGCATTGTGCACTTAATGAACCATACAGAATGAGTCACGGATTATTTTTTATTTCAGGGATTCTTTTCAGTCTATCGACAAGTTTTTGAAAAGATTGCAAAAGAAGAGATGGAATATATGAGCCAGGAAGATGCCGAAGAATTCCCTGTGTTTGGAAATTCTCAAAGTGACTATGATAAGGTAAGAAGAGTTGAATCATTGCTTTGCCTTGCATTGAACTCAAAGGAAAGGCTCCCACTGACTTTAGTTGAATACAAACCCACCTATATCTACCCTATTTTCTACCATCGTAGATTATTGCTATTATAAAAGAAATGTGTAAATTATGATTCATAATATTTGGATGAATCAAAATTGTTATTTCCTGTCGGACTACATTAGTAGCCAGGTTTTTAGTGATGAGTTGTCAAAACCCTGCATTTCACAGGCCTAACCATCAATTACACCAATGAAACTTAAGTGCTATTCAAAGCCTAAGAAACACAAGAACAGATGTTCTCTTGACTAGTCAATGAGAACAGTTTGCCACTGCTCTAATGTAACATACAGAAAGGGAAATTAAAATATAGTGTTTTTAGCTGTATGAACAGTGCCTTGACTTCTTTAAGAAAACTAAAATGCATTCACAACATACGGCGGACTGTGGAACATGGGAGGCATGGCGATTGACCTAGAATAGGAGCTCCAACTAAGAAGTTTGTCATCTACGTTATTCTGCAGTTAGATTTAATTTTCAGAGTATCACATCCTTTCCTTAGGAATGGTACAGACCTGAATTTTCTCTCTCATTTACCCACTGCTTGTTGTATTCTACCAATGTTATCTTTTAAATTACCAATATTTCTATGCTGAATGTGAATATGCCAATGAATGACTGAATAGTACCAGCACTTTTAAATATTTCTCTTAGTCTGCTACTTCTCCGTGGCACTTTCAGTAGTGTTTCATATGACTAATTGTTTATAGAATCTAACTGATGCGTAATTTAATGTGAGAAACTTCTATGGTGTGAAACTTGGCTGGAGTTTGAAACAAGGTTAGAAAAAAAGTTAGAACAAATGTCAGAAAGGTTCTTTGGGTTTCAGGTTTTATAGGATGGCATAACAAAGTCTTTCCCAGGAAGAAAACATTTAGTGTCTCTGAAATTGTTAAAAACTGTTTTTAATGGAGTGAGCTTGAAACATGCTTGGAAAGTGCTTGTGTAGACGCTACAGAACTGGTGTGATTATAGACAAGAAATAGCTTTTATTCTGTCAGCTAATAACTACAAAAATATCTGAAATTTTAGAACCAATGTGATTTGACATCTGCCTTGATTCCAGCAGAATCTCTGCAGGCATCTGCAGAGATTCCAGCACTTCATCCTCCACTTCTCTAGTTGGAGGGAGTGTTGTGGGGAAAGGGAAAAGAGTTTGAGAAGGAAGCTGCAAAAATTATTGAGAGGCCCAAAAATCTGTGATGTAAATGTTCTCTAGCTCAATCTACTGAGCTTATTCATTGGTTTGAGAGGTGACCTGATCAGTGCCAGTCAACCAGTAAAAGTATTTGTAAATTTGTGACTTAACAAGACTTTGAGGGGAATGTGTGGGTCAATTAGATGCTGAAACAAAAGTAATCAGCAACTATAAGTAATAAGTAAAGCTAAATCCACCTGGCAGTCCAGCAGGAGCTGTTTTACTGTCACGCATAAAGGTGACAGAGACATGCTTGTATTTCAGGCAGTCACTGAGTAGGAGGAAAGTCTCACAGCTCATAGAGTGGTGAAGGAAGGGCAAGATCACTGTCATCAACTGGTGGCCGTGTGCTCTTTTGGACAGAAGACATCTCTTTCTGGAGCAAAAATCTGAGATAGTAGAAAGAGAGGCTGTCATCAATTAGATTACTGTGGACCCATGTGTAGCTTCATTTTGGTTATCGTAGCCCCTATGAGCCCAGATATCCAGTGGAGTAAGGGGGAGAAGAGAGATTAAAGTGAAATGTAAACTCTTAGGTTAAAGACCTGGATTTATGCTCTGGTATCTTTTGAAATACAAGTGGTAGTGCAGGGAAGGATAAGCACTAAAAATGCAGCCTAATGGGGAAAATAATGTAAGAAAAGGGAGTTTAGATATTTTCTGTTTTCTATATATGCAAAATACTGTGTGTCGATAGTTACTTGGAAAGGAACAGAGGAAAAAAAACAGAACATAGTCGTTATGCCATTTTATTAATCCAGTGTTTACTCATGAGCAAAAGGAAGAATTGGGGGAAAAACGTTCATTGAGAGAATGGTGAGAGTTAGAGGGCATCATTTTAATGGGCAGTCTCATAATTTTCTAATAAAACAACAGTAAGCATGTCTTCCATAAGAAATGCATAATTCATAGTTAAACCATGGAAAACATGGTTCAAGAATATTGTAGATGCCAGCAACTTATATGAGTTGGATTTTTCTTTTTTTTTCTCTAACTTTCTAATATTTCTTTTTCTCTCAAGATCTGTAAAAGTGTTGTGTTTCTTTTTTTGTTTGTTTTGTTTTGTTTTTTCCTCCCGCTCTGGTAGCAGAGCAGATATATGGGGAAGTAATAGGATTATATACTCTTTGGTTGCTCTTTGTTCTTGACCAGTGTTGAAAAGGTATAGATGACCTTTGGTGTAACTTGCTACCATGGTTGTTCTGTAGTGTATGCATCCTTGTGGTCAGAATATCTGATTCTGGGTGTGCTCTTCAGTTTGACAGGCAAGAAGTAGAGCAATATTAAGTAGCTGCTCACTACTGTAGTGAATCTTGATCCAGAAATTGGAGTTTGGAACAATTGAGTGGGAAAGGTTGTTGACTTGCCATGGTTTATAAGTTTAAAGATGAGGAAGGTTTTACTATAACATTCCCAGTTGATTTGGTGCATATTCCCACCCTTCCAATAAACTGATTTAAAGCTGCCTCTTTTTTTTTTTTTTTTTTTTTTTTTTAACCCCAACAGGTAGTCAGAGTTTCTGTACTCAGAAGAACTTTGCTTGGAAAGAGGAGTATGACACACAGCAAGCATCAAACCGCTGGGAGAAACGAGCTATGGAAAAAGAAAACAAGAAAACAAGAGAGAAAGCGAGGAAGGAGAGGAGTGAACTTGTCCGTCAACTAGTTGCCTTTATTCGTAAAAGGGAT